TTCAAAGCCGATCAAAAGAGGATACAAAGTGTGGTGTTTAGCAGATTCTTTGACAGGATATCTTTATAATTTCGATATTTATACTGGTAAACAAGAAAATAGACAAGGAACACTGGGTGAAGATGTTGTTTTTCAGCTTATTAGCAAGATCAATTTAGTGAATCATCAGCTATTTTTCGATAATTTTTTCACATCCATTCGGCTGCTCTTAGAACTAAAGCAGAAAAAAATTGAAGGAACTGGAACACTAAGAACTAATAGAAAGTTATTTCCTACAGAACTTTTACAAAACGACAGATTAAAAAGAGGTGAATATAAATATTGCTCTTCTGGACAAATATCGGTTGTGAAATGGCAGGACAAGAAACCTGTGTTTGTTGCAAGTAATTCCTTTGATCCAAGAAAAACGGAAATGGTTAATAGAAGAGGAAAAGATGGTTCAAAACAACCTGTTATTTGTCCCCAAATGATATCTAAATACAATCAGTTAATGGGTGGAGTAGATTCGTTTGATCAACGCATCTCTTGTTATTCAATTGACAGAAAATGTACGCGAAATTGGTTTCGCATATTTATTTATTTTCTCCAAGCCAGTCTTTCGAATTCATTCATCTGTTACAATGATCTGAATCAACAACACATGACTTATGTTGAATTCCTCTCTTCTCTCTCATTGTCATTGGTTGGTGATACAAGTTCACGGAAAAGAAGAGGCAGACCTGCTCACTATTCTGCTCAAAAACGAAGACGAATTCAGTTGACACCCGGGAATACATGTTTATCAACTCCATTATTAGCCCATATGCCTGTTGCTGGACCCAAAGGAAGATGCGGATATTGCAGCACGAAAGCTCGTCCAGTGTTTAGTAACATAAAATGCAATTTTTGTGGTATTTCTTTTTGTGTAAAACAACATAAAAATTGTTTTTTGTTATTTCATGAAAACATTCTATAGGTTTTACAACTAATAAAAGTCAGCGGTTAAAATTTTCGTTCAAGTAGAATAAGGTTCAATATAACTTACATTCCATAAATCACATGCGAGAACACATGAGTTACTTTTTACATATGTCCCTATTAGTGGTGAACTGAGGATTTTGGAAAAGGCGAGATCGATCGCTTCATCGTCTACCTCTCAATTCATCGCTGGTCCCTATCTCTAAAAACAGCGAATATAATAATGTACTGAGTTTCAATGCAGGAAAAAAAAATTATGTAACGAAAGGGTTAAACGTAAATATAGATCTCAATCAAAGAGGAAGTTAGCTCTCACCAATTTCTACAATATATCTAAAGCCATCGACACATTAGAAGACCCCCCTATATTAGAAGACCTCCCCATAATAGAAGACCCCCCTTGAATAAATGACGCAAAAGACATATTAGAAGACCCTCCTCCCCTCTTAAAAAATCGATATTTTGAAACAGTTTCTGGAGTTTATTGACTTGTTTAGTATTTAAGCCTAGAATGATATCGAAATTCAGTACGAACAATATCTTGCTTCCTCCCTCATAACCAAGTGTCAGGCTCGAATGAGTAAAATCCTGAGAAGCAACTAATAGGAAACAACTGTCTATTAAAGATTGCGTTTCTTTGTAAAAATATACCATGGAGTCATTTTAGTACTCCTTTGCAGCTTACGTTGAATACATTCTTCAGGCTCTATACACGAAAACACGCTTCCATAGTCATAGGATCTAATGAACGCAGTGCCCGTTCGTGCATGTAACACGTGAAGGGATCTTTGTACAATAGTAACAGATTAGGTAAAGTGCCGCTTTGTATTAATTCAAAGGTCTCTTTATCTTTGACTTTCTTCTAGAAAATCAGAAACGTTTTCACCACAAAACAGTCTTTCATAATTGAAGAAAACATAACTTCATGCACAGTCCACACAAAAAATTCTGGGACACTCAAGAATGGTTCTTCAAAATTTTATATTTCATTTGAAACAAACTTTATATATATTTTAAGTATAGTTACTGGTTACAGTTTCATATAATATTAAAACTAGAAGTTTTGCGTCTGTAGAGTAAAGTACGAAAGTTTAACCAGTAACTATACTTAAAATATATATATAAAGTTTATTTCAAATGAAAGATGAAATTTCGGAGAGCCATTCTTGAATGTCCCAGAGTTTTTTGCGTAGACTGTATAAACGTCGAGATTTGATATGTGAGTACTTTTTTGAGTTTCAGAATGCATTTCTTTTTTCAATAAGATACAATGGCATTTTTTGAAACAGGCGCAAAACAAAAACAGTGTGTGTATTCAACTGCTGATTTTCTATAGATGGTTTCTTCACAAGACAATCGTGTTCATTGAAGTTAGCTTAAGATTAATAACTTTACTAGTAGCAGAATTCACTATGAATATATTCCATCTATACTAATCACATCTCCACATAAGCAACTGAATAAAATGAGTTTGATAAAAAACATTAATTTTCTTTTTTTACATTTATTTAGTTATTGAGAAGGTAAAAGGTTGCCAGTGATAGGTGTTAGCCTAGAGAAAAAAGAACGATGTGGGATATCGTACCAAGATGCTAGGCTACATTGACTGTATTGTTCTAAGAACACTTCTTACCAACAATGGTCTCCCTTTTTTCACAGGATGATATCTGTTTCTTTCTTATTCTACACATGTGAAATAAGTGAAGCAAACTCATTTACCAACGATATATTGGACAAAAATCAAGTGAAGCTAAGATTTGTAGGTGGGATTGCCAAAAAAAGATGACTTTTTTAAGGGACATAATAGAAGACCCCCCTTTTAACTTATGAACGATAAGACAGAATAGAAGACTCCGGGTCTTCTAATGTGTCGATGGCTTTACTTAATCTATAACCCTTTCCATTTCTAAAACTTATCGTGCGTCATGATTATAAAATGATACGATCAAAAGAAATCTTTATTTACACAACTTTGTCAAATCATAGTACAGTATTAGCAAGTTTTCAATCTAATTAAATACATCATATAATATCAGATGACAAGTAACTTTTAATTTAATCTTTGGACAAAATTCCAAAATATTTTATTCAACTGAAAGCAACAAAACAACACTCAAAACCTGGAAAACATAATTTCTTTATCAGATTTAAATAATTTGAAACATGCTTTAATTGACAATTCTTCTAATCTGTATCTCAAAAAATTCTAAAGATCCAAAAAAAAAATCATTCAATTTCGTTGAAGAGTATTTAAATTAAAATATATATTGTATATTGAATTTTACTATTTGTTTCTAATTTCTGCATCATATAAAATAACATAATTCTTAAAAAATAAGGCATTCTTATTAGAATTGAACACCATTTATTTCGTATCATTAACAGGTATGATAACTAATAATTCTTCTTTCAGTTTACAAACGTGTTCGCATGAGTTTTAACATCTAGAAAATTGTCGAATATATAGATATTTGAATATCTATTTGACGAACATAAAAGAGAAGTTTAGGTACATATTTATTTTTCATAAGAAAAGAACGAAAAATTGAAAAATTATTTTTTTGAAGAATTCTAAATCCAGCAAACCGAAATGTCAAGCGTCTATTCAAAAGATAAGTGATATCTACTTGTCGAGCTATTTTATCATTCCTATGAAATATCATTATTTACTGTAATGCAAAAGAATTTGAAAAACCAAATCGTTCATTATCCGTTCAAAACCTAAGAAGAAATAAAACAGTTTTGTCAAATAGTTTGGAATGTTGAACATTCACATAATTTATTAACTTAATTATCAAACACGAAATTTTGATGTTATCAATCGTTGATCATAAACATAAGATAAATAGATTTGCTCTTCAATGATTCATAATTAATATTAGCTATCCAATGAATTTATATGTTGAAAAATATTTTATCACATAAATCATCTAATGAACATACATAATCAATTGAACTAACGATAGGATCATTATATTTAGACAATAGAAACCATATCTGAATACCTAAGTATTTAACAGTACGATTTATATTCTCACCAAATTTTGTTGTTATATATGCATCTATTTCATCATAATCAATTAATATTGTTATGTGACATAAACTGTTTTTTGCAGTTGGATCCGTTGTTTTATTTGCAAGTTTTTCTAATGTAGATGATTTGTTAATTGAAATAAGTTCACTTTGTGAAATTTCAAATACATCATATACTAATATTCGTTTCACGACGAAGATAAGGAAAGAACTATCATATTGAATGACACGTGACCGAGTAGCTCAGTTAAATAGAGAAACGATTCGAAATAGCGATCATGTGCGTTCTATCCTAATCTCGGTCACAAGTGTCTATCATTAAAAAAATCACTTATAATCTTGTTTCTGTCCTAGATAATAATCCATCACGTAATGTTTAGCCTGTTGTTCGTTTATGTCGTTGGTTTTGTCATGTTCTTCTGTGGTTTCGTCGTCGGGCGGTGTTATCATTCATTAACCACATACATTACTGATATAATAATGAATATACAACAACACCGTCCACCACCTCAACAACAACAATCACAAGCTCCACCACCACACCAAATCAGACGTCGTCGAGGGGAAGGAGACGGACGTTAAAAAAAAAGAAAAATAACGAAATAAATAAATTATAAAATAAACTAGAATAAAATATGTTATTATTTTTTTATTTATTTATTTTACCGAAAAAAAGATGATGTAAGACCTAAACATTGTATAAATGACTCACTTTGTTTGTTTATGTTTATTTCTTCTTTTGTCAGTTTCAGAAAATATCATCATCAGTTCTTTATTATCAATTAAATTCATCTGACTATCAACATTTATTTTCATCTCAATTGAACTATCTGTTTTCATTATTTAATGAATATCATTATACTATTCGAATTGTTGGCGAAACTATTCGAGATATTTTACTAGGTGTTCCACCATATGATTATTGATTTAGCAACAACAGCAACAACAAATGATATATTAAAACTTATTCAAGGTGATTCAAATATTGAACTTGTTTACACACGCACTGAACATTCTGGAACATTAATACTTGTTGTTGGTACAATTGTACGAGTAAGTTAAATAACTTATTAGAGATACAGATTTTGATTTTATTTTGTTATAACGAAAAAAAAAAAGAAAAGATTTCAAGTAACAACTTTAAAACGATCAATTATTCGTCATGGTAAAGACATATCTGTTGAGTTTACTAATAATTGAAATATTGATGACAAATAGTTTATCCATGGATGAACATGAAATTAATGATTCAAGAATGAATCGAATTCGTTTTAATGGAGATATTATTTCCGATTACAAGAAAATCCTATTGGAATTTTATTTTATTTTAGGTTAGATTAACATATTTTGATAGAACAAAATAAGTCTTTTTTTTTCTTTAGTTGCAGCTATTTTGGCCTTCTGTCATCTGATCCATATGCACATGAACCTAATGTACTATGGCATTAAATGGTACGAAAAAAAATTGCTATTGTTTTTTTTTTTCTTGATTTAATGAATATTGAAATTATAATCATAGATGTTCCAGATGAAAAAATTTGGATTGAATTAGAACTCATACTTCGTAGTCATTTTGCTGGACATATAATAACAACAGTTCTTGAGCGGCAATTAGCCTCGAATTTGGGTGCGCGAAAGTCCTTTTTTTCTAATTTATTCTAATCTTTTATTTTTATCTATTTTTTTTGTTTGAAAAGGTTTACCTGAATCATCTATAGAAATGTTTGAATTAGATAATCGATGGTTAAGATGTATGAAATATCAACCAGAATCCATGATATTATTTACTGCAATTTTTAATGATCAAAAAGGCGTAAATAGAAAAAGAAGAAAAAAAACAATCGAAAAAATAATTTATTTTCATTTAGTTTGATACATTCTATACACATGTGAAATGTTCAACACGTTATAAAAATCTTAGTCAATTCTTACTTGATTATCGTTATTTAATTTCATCGATAAATAAAAATGAATTACTTCATTTCTATAAAGAATTTATTATCAATAGTCATCAAACTCAATAAGCTATTCGACATCAATATATAATTGAATTATTTAAATATCAAGGTTATATTTATCTTATTGGTGAGATGAAACAATGGTCTATGCTAAAACTTCCTATAGATGCATGAGATCTTCAACAAAATGGTTTAATGTCTGTTATAGGTTTTTCACATTTTCTATGACATTTGAAAGAACAAATGGAAATTAAATCAATTTAAGATGACAAAACAAGAACTTATCGAATATGGATTTTAATCAAGATTATTTTACACATTATGAAAAACAAAATTTTTTGTTTTGTTTATCTCCTTAGAAATTTATTTTTTTCTTTGTCGTATTTGAATTCCTTTTACTTTTGTTTCTGAGAAAAAAAATGAGAATAAACTTTCTTGTGATGAATTCATCGTAGATTAAAGATTAAATTTTTGAAAAATTAACACAGTCGCTTTTCTAACTGAGATCTATAAGTTCATTAAATAAATATTCCAAATAACAACTCATTGACGAGAAGGAAATATTAACCTGTCTATTGATGACATTCGATGCATGTTTTTTTTTTCATATTTATGAAAATCAAAAACACTGAGATTAGTCTTTACTGATTTTACGTTTACCTATCCATTTTTGACAAAATCAGAATGATATCTATACAACAAGGACTATGCAGATGAAATGACTATAACAGGATTTTCTGAAAATTTAATTATCAATCAAAAATATATATGATGACATGAGAATAAAACAAGAACCATTTTGGTAAACTTTCATTTTGATTGAATCATTTCATGTCAATCAGTAATTTAACCTTGTTGTACTGTTTTAGTACCTTTAATTACGAGCTAACTTTGTTCATGACTAAATGCATTTACATTCACTAGAAAAATGTCAAATCGATCTTTATTCTTTTAAATAAATTATTCATCGTTCATATTTCTTTTTTTTTAAATAATAAGTACACTCACTTAAGTAGCATGACTTTTACATATTTAAATCACGTTTGTTAAATTATATCCTATTAATAGAAACATCTTTACTTTCTTGATTTCATTCTATCTGCTGGATTATCTTAATGCAATATTTCTATTCTTCAAATGGCTAACTAAAGCAAAACATGATCACAATAATCCTAACAATATATAATGCAACAACTTGAACTATATTTTAAATGATAATTATGAACTAAGGAACTATAATATATGAATTGTTTTTATAAGACTTAGAGCTCACTACGCAAAACATAATACACTTAATTTTAAAACACAAAACAAACAAGCTTTGTTCGAGATTCCTTATTGACATTTTTGTTTAGATAACTCAATTAGCATGTGCACACAACTTCAATTTTTTTTCTAAAATTCCTAGTAAACATTTTCACGTTGCTCATTGATAAAAATCTTGATATGAGAAAAGTAAGAGAAAAATCGGTTGAATTTTTTAACAAGATTATATAAATAAAAGCGATATCATACATATATCTTATCATTATTCATGACAAGACAAAAACAACCATCATATCAAGCAGTTTATTACCAATCGTTCAAACTCATGTTAATCATTTTGGATTCTCTTTTATATTTATTTTGGATATACTATGTAATAGTGACATTATAATACTTTTTTGGAAACATCGTCAAAAATCCTCCATAGTGTATCTATTTTGGACATCGATTATAAATAATCATTATCTTCTATTCGCTATTCCACCAATATTCTATAGTATTAGTTATGATGATTTAAGTTCTCGTTCTCTCATTTATTGTAAATTACGTTATTATATAGTAAATACATTAGGCCAATCAGCGAGATATTTTATTATTTTAGCATGTATTGATCGTTTTGTTTTAATTACAAGTAATGACCGTTTTCATATTCTTCTTCAACTAACAGATGTTTTAGCCAACGCGATGTACATTAAAATATACACATTTATTAGAACTTTTCGAAAGCTATTTAATAGAAGTTTAGTTTTTTTGTTTTAACTGAATATTCGTCTCCATGAAAACAATACATAATTAAAAAACTTCTTTCTGTTGTTTTGAACCTTGATTAATAGGATTTCGTAGAGATTGAAATATTGCATCGCTAGATACGAAACTTAGAATCGTCTATCAAAGAAAATTATCATTAAATTCTGAATATAATTGTTGATTTGTTGAAAGTCATGGATGAGTTTGAGACTGAAAATTATGTGTCAATTTTCCAGCTAAACTAATCGAAATCGATTGAAGATGTGCGAAGTTTTATATAAGTGTTAAAAGAATTGGTTGAAAATCAACATCATTCATATTCATACACAATGACAAATGCTCAATATTTGAGAAAAACTCAATAAATTGATCAACAATTGATAATGTTAAACGACTATATGAAAATGTTAATTTTTTAATCATTTATAAAAGATTACGATATGATCCGGAAAACTAATAGAAAGTACTGAATCAGAAAAAGAAAGAAAGAATGATAAAAATAAACTTTCTTTTTATTTTTTCAAAAAAACAAAAGATACTGTTAACAAAAAAAGAAAATCAGCAATGTAAATATAACTATGTCACACTTTAATCATGTTCACAAGAAAAGAAAATAATAAACAACTAAATCTATAAGAGTATCTTTTTTTTTTCTTTGTTCATGTATAATTCGATTCATAAGTCCGTACCATAAAAAGAAAAAGAAAAACAAACAAAAGTCTTTCAAGGAATATATACACACACATAGATTAACCAAAAACAAAAAAAAAATATCACACACAAAATATAAAAAATAGACTAAATCAAATTACATCTTGACTTGTATTGTTTGTTTTTGCTTCATTTTGATCAGATTTTTCTATTGATTTACTATCTGTAATATCATTCTCATTCATCTTTACTATTTCTTCACCATTATGTTTATGTTCATCGGTAGCAATATTTGTTTCATGATTTTCTTTCGATTCTGATATTGCAGATGCACCTGAAAAATTCTAATCATTTTATAGAATTTCAAAAGTTTATAACAAACGTTTTTTTCGTTTGGTATTAGTTGATATTTGATCATTAGACAAACGTTTATTTGAAGGTTTTTTACTAGGTGTATTAACATAATCTAAGTCATGTTCATCTTTATTATTCTAAAATAAATACTTCATTGAAATTTGTTTTTTTTTGCAAGATATTAATTTACTTCAATTTTTATTTCTTGATCAGTATCAATAGATTCTTTTGAATTAGTACTGCGTTTTTTCATAGTACGTATTGTTGATTTTTTTCCTGGTATACGTTTTCCTTCATCAATTGGTTCGATTAAAAATTTTAAAATTCGTTCAGCATGATCAATATTACGACCTGTTGCTGGTAGACCAAGAATATTCGAAATTGATTTTAATTGATCTTTTTTTAATCTAATTTAACAAAAAAAAATACGTTATTTCAATAAAAATAATTAGAATTATTCTACTTTATTAAATTATTGAAATGCTTTTGATATTCATCACTATTATGTCGAAATTCAAATCCTTTAAATTCTCGAAGATTTTTTCGAATATTTGCTTTATTCTTAAAAACAAAAAAAATCGTTTTATTTTGGTTGATACTTTGTTTTTTATTATTATTCTTACTCCTCGTCGACCAAAACAAATATTACGCATTCGAGATAAAGCATCAGTTGAAGCATGAGTTATTTGATAATTAACTAAATAGGAATTATTTTAGAAAATAAATTTAATTAATGTTCAACGTACTATATTCAATTTCACCTAATGGTTTACCATGACCCTAAATAACAAAAAAAGTTTAAATTTATTTATTATACAATTTGAACAATCGTCAAACCGTAGCCACAAACTAATGAAAAAAGAGAATTTTGAGCAATATATAGATCTAACAAGGGACGTCCAGCAGCTAGTGGCCATCTGATTCAAAAATTTCGGAGTCGAACCTTTCAGAGCCGAGAGGATCTGGGGCTATGTGCATTACGTACGTCTAAACGAGTTATGAATACTCTAAAGAGAGTTCAAGCTCTTAGCTTATTGTTACCGAGATACGGTACTTTTACCATAGGTTTTTTATTGAATGCCATGGTTACAGATAAACTGATTTTCGAATTTCAATGTAAAACTTTGCATAGAGACAGGCCGTAATGAGAACAGTCCTTTGCAAATGCTTTAGATCTTGTCATTGTTTCTATTCTAAGATACAACTCATATACATTGGTAGATGCGATGTTCTTATCTCAGGATAGAAGCAAATCAAAAGACTTAAAAGTTTTAAGGCGAAATTCGAAAATCGGTTTTTCTGTTACCATGGCATCCATTTAAAAAATACCGTAAAAATGTAATATCTCGGCAGCAATAAACTAAGATGCCTAGTCTACATGATGCACATAGTCCTGACTCATTGTGAGATTTTCTTCGTGAGTTTTACTCAGTAACTTCTAGGATTTTGCTTTCTTTTTTAGATATGTCTGTAAATGACAGTAGGTGCTTGAATGCTAAAAAGAACGGATGTTATTTAACAATCGAAGGGAGAAATTCGATGAAATCTGTTTTATTTTTTAGATTATTTTATCAATAAATAAATTTACCTTAGGAATAGATAATTCTTTTTTTGTTGGTAGTGATTCAGATATTTCAAGACGTAATGTTGGTTTTCTTGAACGTTTTCCATTAACAACCATTGATTGTTCGAAAAATGATTGTGCATCAAGTTCATTTTCTTTTAATTCACTTTCTGATATAGATGAAATATCATGTTTTTCTTTTTCATTACCATTTTCAAGCTTTTCAATATTCTTTTGTTCATCATCTTTTGATACATCTGCTTCTTCAGAAGAAACAACGACAGCTGTTTCGTCTTCATTTTTTGTATTGATTTCAGCTGATGATTTTTCTTTTGTTTCCTCTATCGTTGTTTTTTCCTTCATAGAAAAATGTAGCATAAAAACATAAAAACGAAATTCTTTGACTTACTTCTTCATTTGTAGAAGTTTCTTTGTTGATATTTAAATCGCTTGCGCTTGTCATGCTTTCTCCTTAAAATTTATCGATAGAACTAAATGACTTTATCAACTTATTTTCTCTTCGTTCTTCCTCTATAATGCTGCTAAATACCAAGAGACAAATCAGATCAATATATATGTACATATATATATATATATATATATATATGTATATATGATAGATGGAGCATTAATACATAATTAAAAAGACACGTGTTCTGATAACAAAACAGCACTGTAAATGATATAGAACGGTCAAAACAGGCGTGTTTACACCGCTGTTTTCCGTAAGCTCGTAGGCGAAATACTGTGAAAATTAATACAATAAAACGCTGTTTTCGATGATCGGAATGATCATCCTGTGGAATGAGGTTTGAATTATGCTATTAAGATTTCATTATACTAAAAAAAACTTAGTCTTGCATATCTCTAATTAAGACATACTCTAATCGATTTTTGTCTCAATCTTTCTATGTAATGCTTGGAGTATGTGTTAAATAAATGAGTGTATTTGGACGAAAACATGAAAGAATTTCACAGAACAGGCGTTTTAAAAAAGAATGTGACAACAGAAGATAGTGAAGATTGTATCATATTCTGTGTGGATCTTAGTGCATTTTAAGTATGCCAATAAAATCTTGAAATTGATTATATTTTTATTTATTATTTGTTGATCATTTCAATATCTTGATTTATGATATATCTACGAAGGATGTCCAACGCTTAGTCTTTAATATCATAGTTGTCATATAATTAGCTTGAAGTCGAATCCATATACGTAACCCTCGATAAATGAGAAAGAGCCTCGTCATAATCTAAAGTACAGAACAAAAAAGAAAACTCATCATGACATTTAGAAAAAATATGCTTGAACACGTCTGTTTTTTAGTTAGTATAATTGGAATACTCGTTGACTTTGCCAACACTAACTATGAATGTTCTTGATCTTCTTTATTGTGTCAGTACAAACATGAGAATTTACAAAATATGTTAATAGAAGTTTTGCTTGAATTGATCTTAAAATGAATCTTAATTTTGTCGATAGTTAACATAAATATTTACTTAGAGAGTTATTCTTCGAACTATGTACATGATACGTAATCATCAGATTTGCTATAAACCTTCATTATTGTTTTCTACATTGATATCAATCTTTGAATACGATCTTTTGTTTGGTTTGTTTATTTACCATGTAAATCTTATTCCTTTGACCACAAAAAAATTTCTTTATAAAATGAGTGTAATATTTTGCTATATATTCTTATGTATTCCTTGTTACTTATTTTTTAAAGCAAGTGAAATACTTATATCAATTCATATATATGAAACTACTTCTTTAATACGTATTATTTTTACTTTTGTTGTCATATCAATTTTTTAACTGAGACAAAAAATTACTTGAACAAAATCATAGTAAAATAGATGATATATTTTTCATTAATGTTCTATCATGACATTGAGTGCAATTCTGTCTACAGACTGTGCTACATAGTTGAATGAAGTGATGGTTATTTGATTATTTATATGCGATGTGTCCATTGTTCATAGGTGTTTATATCGACATGTATCTATTTCACATGAATTAGTCGATCATAAAAGCCATTCGTAGGTAGTAATGTTGAATATCTTAACATACTTGAATAGAATTTTCGTGTGAACTTTTCAATAGATTTCTTTGTTAGTTATAATCGACTTTTAAATTTCATGTATAATACTTAAACAAAATTTTTGTATGAATCATTTATTTTTCGTAAACTGAAATATAGGTGGCTCGTCAGCACGCTTCTACCGCTTGCTCCCGTCAATGGAACGAAAAGCAAAAATAACCGTCCATGTGGTGCATTACAATCGTGATCGATTTTATGTAGCAATAGTAGAAGAATGATCGTCACCACGATCAACTCTTATGTAAACAGACATTGCATTAGAAAAAGAACCATAGTGATGGTCAATTCGATCTGAATGAGATGAGCGATGACTGACGGATGAGACAATGACTACAATATTATTTGTTTGACAGAGAAAATGCATTATATATATATATATAATTACGTATGCGTACAGTTGTTCATTCTATCTCATTTCGTCCCAATTGTTAATCTCGGAAGTTGTTCTTTTCAATTCATATTTCTACATGGATTCCATGGCGAACAAAGTCCATGACTCAGCTATTCGCCATATTCTTGTATTATCTCGTCCACTTCGAATAATGCGCTAGCCTCTTTCCTACTTCAGCACCATTGGCATCCGCTGGTACTTCAAATCACACGGCTTATTCTTATGCAAATAATTGAACATATATGTATCACATCGACCTTTTGGCAAAAAGATGTTTGCTGAATTAGCCGGAATAGGCCTGAAAAACTCTTCGTGGAACGCGAGCGGGACAGAACAGCTTCTCATTGTCCCGTCAGCACTCTGTTTATCGGATAAGTTGAATTCTTTTTCAGTTGTATGTTCATCGATCATTTAATCGTACCTATGAGTTTTTCTTCCAAATGAACAGTATATTAAAATAAGATTTTGATATACTGCATTATTATTCTTTCTTGAGATGTTATTTTAAAACAACCAAAATATTTGAATTGAATATTCATAAAACTTACCGATAAGCTGTAGATTTCTTGAGTACAACATAGTTAAGCTGAATTGTTGATTTGAATTAATAATAAAAATTTAATGCAAATATTAAATTAGTTGCTTATTTTTCTTTTGCAAGAATAGTATTAATGATTCTGAATAGTCATAAGTTACAGATGTCGCTTATAGTTAGATATATACATTGCTATTCTGTAAACAGGATCTTAGTATAAATTAGGTCTTAATTAGTAAAACAAAACTTCTTTTTTTTCTTGTTAAAAATCATACTGTAGTTTTTTTACTTTTTATAAACTTTTTATTGATTGGTTACGATAAGCTCGAAATAGTCACACGTCAATAGTAAGAATTGGAAATCTATTTATAATTTTTCTTTTCTTCCCAGATTATTGCATATATATGTATGTGCATACTTTAATTTTTTGATAAATTAAAAAAAAAATTAAAATTTTCTATATGATAGCTGTTTAAATATTATTCGGATATGAAACATAATGCCATCCTCAACACATTCAACAACATCGAACGATCAATGTGAACATTGCCATAGTGCATATACATTAATTAAAAAAAAAGTAAAATCTAATGAATCAAATATAATTAATTTCACTTTTTGTTTTTTTGTTTTTCAGAAAATTTGTGCCGTTTGTCGTCAATATTATTGTGGAAATTGTGCACCACGTGAACGTTATCTTAATCATTCCTATCGTATTTGTCTTATTTGTCAATTAATATCTAATAATTCCACAACAAATGATCAATTACTTGAATTAAAAGTAAAACATTTAAGAAATTATTTACAAGCAAAAGATATTTCACATAATACTTGTACTGAAAAACAAGAACTTGTCGATTTAATAATACGTAGTCGACATTTACCATTTTCAAATTTACTTAATCAACAAACAGATACTTCTTCAATAATAGATAATACAACATTTAATCAATCTTCAACATCAAATAATTCTTCACCATCAACATCATCAATGCATTCATCAAAATCTGGACCATTTACAAATTTACAACAAACAGTATCATCATTTGCTAATCAAATGAATAATTTTGCTTCAAATGTACAAGATTATGTTACAAATACAGTATCCGATGTTATAAATCATACATTTGGTGATGAACCACAACAAACAACAACAGCTTCTAATAATCCTAATCGTGGAACATCACCTAGTAGTTCTACTCATACAACAACAA